AACATCACTGCAAAGTTCTCTGTCTCGTTGCCACTTGAGACCGGGGGTGATGCTCACAGGAGCAGGTGATTCCTGGCCGGTGGGGGAAGCAGAGCTGAAGAGGGGTTCACCAGCACACGGAGACCTCCTTCACCCTTGTGCAGGCAAGGTCTGTGCTTTTTCCAGGTCGGGGGTCATGCAAGGGAAGACCTTGAACTTCCATCTCATCTTGAGGAAGACCTGTGGCTCGTCTAGAAGATGGGCAAGCCCCAGGGCTGCTATGTCCGTGGTGCCGTAAAGCCCGCGTCATCCTGTTAGAATTAACTGGGAACCGGTGTAGTGCCCATAGATGCAGCAAGCAATGTGCTGGAATAAGCAAAGCGCCTCTGGGTTCCTGGATGGGAGTCATGGCAAAATTGTTCCTAGAGAAGGAATTACTTTGGCTTGGCTGAGTGGAGAGCTTGTCCAGCCCCAGAGGGCAGGATCACCCTCTGAAGCCTGGCATCTTCCCCAAACTCTCCTTTAGCTTCCAGGTTTCGTGCTCCTCCAAGGCAGACTGTTCCCATACCCAACTGTCCTCACCACAAGACGGATTCATTCCAGCGTCTCATCTTTCTCTTCCTGGCTCCAATTTAAGCCCATGATGGGTTTTTAACTGCTGAGAGGTTCATGAGTCAAAGCCACAGGGGGTTTTACCAGCAGCCCAGCACTGCAAGGTGGTGCACAAGGTGAACATCTCTTCACAGGGTGCTTTGGGGAGCCAGGAGATCTCATGGGGCAAACCTAGAGCAGAGCACGGGCTCCAAGCAGCTCACACCATGGTGGTTTTGCCATAATGACCCCAGGTCCATGCTTGAAGGATTCATGGGGTCGTTATTCATCCAACAGCATCTGCAATGTGCCTCCACTTTGTGGGTCATCTCTGTTCTCTTCACTTTCCCAGACACAGACATCTCCAGAGGAGACCCAAAACAATCACCATAGAGCCTTGCCACTAGGTCCTGGGCTCATAGTCCATCAACATATGTTTACGTATTTATTTTAGGATGTGATTAATGTTACTACATTTTTTAAAGGAATGTTTTTGTTCAGCCAGCGTGCTTTGCCAGCACAAAACGTTCTGTGTTTGGAGCAAAGCACAGCAAATTGGACGCTGCTTTAAAACACAAAGGAGGAGGGGTTAGGGGAATGCTATTTTCTGCTCTCTAGCAAAGAGAAGTGCAGAGCATTTAGCAAAGATAAAGAGAAATGGGAAAGGCTGCCAAGCTGCAGACAGAAGAGGAACAAGGTAAATTTGGCCGTGGGGGCCAGAAAGTGACTGTTTTTCCTCCGGCATGTTCTGGGCTCTGAATTAAGGTTTCTGTGGTGGATCGTGGAGTTCTGCTTTTCTTATCTTTGCATTTGTGTTAAATAAAGCAGTAAGAGCAGAAGGGTTTGCATTGCACTAGCACTGAGCAGAGGAACTTCTGAGCCTCATGTGAGGTGGTGTGCAAACAGAGGAGGAGAAGAGGACAGGTTCCTCATCATCATGGGGTGCCAGGAGAGCAGATAATGTGTATCTAGCTCCACAAGGCTCTCCTGAGCATCAGTGCTCAGAAAAGGACATGATTGACTTGTCTGCCTTCTCAGAGGCAGCAGCAAGGTACTGGTCTGCAGCCCATCTCCTGCAACAGAGCCATCCCTCTATGGGGAGCATGAAGGTTTGGAGGCTCCTTGTGGCACGGGTGCGCCCTTTCCTTGGCATTTTTCACCTTCTGCAGGGATCTAGTTGCTGAGCTGTTCTTGGTCTTTTCCATGTGCTTCCCAAGTCCCTGGCCCTCTCTGAGGGTTGTGGTCTGCTGCGTTTTTCATCAAAAAGCGCCTGAAAAAGGGAAGGGTGCAAATGCGGCAGCTTTGCCCACACCAGAGCGTCATAACCATTGCGAGGATCTCACTGCCACCCCTTTGTGCTCCTCAGCGCCACCAGCACTGTCTGTGTTGTCCCTATGAGTGGCACCTAGTGGCACAGTTCGGAGGTTAGAGTAAGCCAGAGACAGGAGCTGTCACACTCTGGTGCCAACGACCCCACGTTTGCTCTCGGAGATGATTTGCAGGTCAGAGCCTCCCCTTCAGTCCCCGCATGGGCAGGATTTTCCCAATGGCGCAAGAAAGACCGCGGAGCTGGTGTTGGAGAACCTCTGGTGCGGCACATCTCCAGTGCACCACCGCGCTCCTGGAGATGCGGGGCTGGAGGAACAGAAGAGCTTGCTGAAGGCTCTCACTTGGCAACAGTCATACTGTGACCTTCCCTTGCAACAGCATCGCTTGGTCCCCTCCTTAAAAACATCGTTAAAGTTTTGCTCTGGGGGCTCCTCTGTGGCAAGAGGAAGGAGGTGCTGTGCCCCACTCCTGGCTGAGGGTCCCCAGCGTCCCCTGACACCCCGCTCCTCCCTCTCTTGCAGCTGACGTACCTGCCTCCGCCGTGGGGTGAATGTCGCTCGTCGGATATGGGCTTAGACTTCTTTCCCGTTTACAGTATCACGGCTTGCAGGATCGACTGCGAGACCCGGTATATTGTGGAAAACTGCAACTGCAAAATGGTTCACATGCCAGGTCAGTGTGCTGGGGGGGCAGGGACCCCTTCCTTCCACCCAGCCTGGGTCATTAAAGGCTGGACTAGATGATCCTTGAGGTCCCTTCCAACCCAGTATTCTATGATTCTATGATTAAGGGTTAACAAGCTGGAAAGGGACCAAGGATTAAAGGAGCTGTTCCCTAAGGAGAGAAGGATGCTAATAGCATTTGCGAAATGCCCTGAAATAGGGGCAAGACGTGGCAGAGGGACACGGGTCTGATTTCCCCTTATTTAGTCCAAATTAACACCCCAGGGTGGTATTTCCAGCAGCCCCCTCCTCAGTTTGCAAGAAAAGGCCCCCGCAGCAGGCAGAGATGGGGGCAGACGCTGCGATACCTCTGCTGCCCATCCTCAACCTGGGTTCACATTGCTAAGGGGAGGTCCTTGTGGTCCCCATGGAGAGCCCAGTGGTCCCCAGCTCCCTTGCAGTGGCTGATGCCCAGTGATGGATGTGTCCTTTCCATGCAGGGGATGCTCCCTTCTGTACCCCGGAGCAGTATAAGGAATGCGCAGAGCCTGCGCTCGGTGAGTACTGAGAGGTATCCCTGGGTACCTCAGGTGTCTCAAGCTGGAGGGACTTCCAGCAGCTTGTGTCATCCTGGCTGGCAGGGGTGATCTAGAGCAGCTGGAACCCAGCAATGGGTTTTGATGAGACCCAACTTGTTGGGAAGGGCTTGGTGCACCATGGGGTAAAGTTTCTTCTGGTTCTACATAGGGCAAGGGGTTCCGTCAGCGCAGAAACCCTTGGGGTAACGGTTACCCCAGGATATGTAGGAGATGAGCACCTTTGGGTCTGGGTTTGGGATGGAGGGACCCATTCGAGGTCTGGATTTAGGAGACTCAATCACCGCATGTTCCCCGAGCAGATGCTGGTAACGGGGTGTAGCCTCCAGCAAAAGGCCGCTCTCCCAGACCATGGGGATGGCCGTGCAATGGAGTGGGAGAGAAATGGCCAGGACTGGGTTTCCTGCAGCTTTTCTGAGATGTGACTCCTTGGCCCCTGTCTGGGTGGTGTGATCTCTGGTCCCACATCTGCTGTGACTCCATGAGATCTAACTCTGTGACCTTCTCCAGGTTTGCTTGCCGAAAAGGACAGCAATTACTGCATCTGCAGGACACCCTGTAACCTGACCAGGTATAACAAAGAGCTCTCCATGGTCAAGATCCCCAGCAAGACCTCAGCCAAGTACCTGGAGAAGAAGTTCAACAAGTCGGAAAAATATATCTCGTGAGTGTTGCAGAAAACAGATCTCCTTTGCTTTATGGGGAGAAGTGTCTGTAAAGCCCCACTGGCTGTTAAAACCAGCCTGTGCTAAGACCAGACCTTGCCAATGACTCCATCACCAAACAGAGGTATGTCCTTCAGGGAGGGCTAGGGTGAAACCCTTGGAGAGATGAGGTGTAGGTTGCTTTCTTCTCAGTAGACGTGTTTCCAGACAACTGTAAGTTCCTCCCTGGCCTTGTCTTCATGAGCATGCTCCATACCCACCAAAAAAAAGTGCAAAAACTCTTCTTGCTTTGATGGGGAAGCCCAGTCTTGCTGGCCTTGTCTGAGATACCAGAGATACCAGTCTGAGATACCCTGTCTGAGATGTCTCTCTATGTAAGTCAGGGCTGTGGACCTCAGGCAGCTGCTGACTTGGACCTCTCCCAGCCCTGGGCACGTTATTGCCTTGTGGAGGCAGCGGGAGTTATTCATATTAGGCATCCTTTGGACTGTTGCTGTTAGCATCAAAGTGAGATCTAGAGCTCAGATCCTAAGAGATCACAAGGAAACATTTTCCAGCTTCTGCTAAGGCTGACAGAGCCCTACCAGTGCCCTGTGGTCTTGGTCTCCAGGAGGTCCAAGAGTCTGTGCGTTGCTGAGGACCCCAGAAAAAGAACAGCCAGGACAGAGGGGGGAATAAAACCCCAAAGTCCCTTTTTTTTTTTTTCTTGTCCCAAAGCAGACAAGGCCGCTGGTGGCTGATGGGCTGATGCTGTTGTCCTCTTTCTACAGAGAGAATATTCTTGTGCTGGACATATTTTTTGAAGCACTCAACTATGAGACAATTGAGCAGAAGAAAGCCTATGAAGTGGCAGCCTTACTTGGTAAGGAGAGATCAGGGGTGCAATTTGGAGTCTGTGTGAGCCTGTGCTGGAGTCCATGTGTGTTTATGGGCCAGACAGGTGCTTTGAGTGGGTGCACAGCTGGTGTGCATTGCCTTGAAAATCCCAGCAAGGTCCAGACACCTTCCTGGCCAGCATGCTTTCAACCCCATCTCCTATTTTCCTTCCAACACCAAGCCATCCCAGGAATGTCCCAGGGACCACAGCAGGTCCGTCACCTGTGAAGGGTTAACGTGAGTTGCTCCATCTCTGCTTGCTACCAGGGCCCTATTATTTGGAAATCCGAGGGCTGAGCGGGTGATGGATGCTCTCTGTGGTGATCCCCACGCTGGAAAGGCAGTGTGTGGAGGACAGCTCTTAAAACCATCTACCCATCACCTCTTACATGCTCCAAATCCACCCTCCTTTCCAGCCAGGCTAGCCAGGACCCTGAGCTCTTTGCCCTTGCGTGGTGCCCTGCAGCTTGATGGTGAAGGTGGAGGAGTTGTTGGATTGCTCAGCTTCAAACTGGGTCAAGCTTTGTGGGTGCCAGCTACAGATTTGGGTGCTTGGGACCTGTTGGGTTCGGGGGTGGAGGTGTTCAGTCAGGAGAAGCAAGCATACTCCGTGCCCACGCTCCACCTTGCAGCCCCGCTGTGTGCGACCCCAGATCCCCCCAGGCTGCAGGGAGCAATCAGCACCTTGGTTTGAAAGCTGGAGCTGGGTCATCCCACGGGGCTGGACACTGTGAGCCTGCCCCGGGGTGGGGACACTGCAGAAAGCAGAGCACCCTGGGTGCCCCCACGTCACCCCGCGGCGGTAGCTCGGCAAAACGTACTTGCTGTGGGGGCTTCTGCACCTTTTGGGGGTTCCCCAAGAGTGCTAGGGCGAGGAAGAGGCGGTTGATGATGAAGACTCTTTCGACACAAGCCTCCTTATTTGTACAACCTTGCATGACCCTCATTCCCAGGGCGTTAAGGGCTTTGGGCAGAGTCTCATCTTCCTCCAGTCCTCAGCTCCTGTTGAACCAGCACCTTGCCCCCAAGCACCTTTTTTTTGTCTTTCTTCTGTCTCTGTCTTGTGGTCACCCACAGCGAAGATCCCGTAGCCCCTCCACCCGTGGGTGCCTTTGCTCTGGGGAGCTGCACAGTTGAACCATGGGTGTTTTGTAGCAAAATCCATTAAATTTGTCTTCCCTGAAGCACACAGTTTGGCGTAGCACAGCATCTCATGTCAGCAGTTACCTTCCCAGCAGCAGATTCCTGGAAGTCTCCCCTCCTCATGGTGCCTCCTCCGCAGCCCTTCCCCAGCCCTGGGGGACTCAAGCAGAGACAGCCTTGAGATGCTCCCCTAAAAAAAGCAGGCCATCTCCCTCTCCTCTCTTTGGCAGGTTTGGGGTTTTCTTTGGCTCCAGGGGACGTTACTTAGTTCTTCTCCAGCATCTTTCTCCTTCCCCCGCCCAGTTGGGGAATTGGGCTTTGGGATTCCTGGGATGAAGCGTGCTGCCTAACTGACAGATGGCTTCCTCGGATGCCAGCGTGCGGTGGCGCATCTTCATTAGGCTTCCAGCTGATGACCTCGTTAGCCGGAGGAATGCTTTGGTGGCCGACGACGTCCTTCCCAAGATGTTTTTCATGGCATTAGAGCTGGGGTTTCTGGGGGTCATCCCTTGCATTTCCCACTCTTTGGGGGTGGCAGCACGCAGAGCAGCTGCACCACGGTTGCACGGGTGCCTCTGAGAGCATTTACCCCAGGCGTAAAACCCGTCCACGTGCTGTTCTCTCTCCTAGGTGACATTGGAGGCCAGATGGGGCTGTTTATCGGTGCTAGCATCCTCACTATACTGGAGCTCTTCGATTATATATATGAGGTAAGACCCTCACCCTTCGCCCTGTTCTTCCGGCAGGGTGTGGGTTTGCCAGCCTTGGTGCTAGGCTGGGGTGGTCACGGCCCGGGACCCTCCATGCCCAATGTGCCCACCTGGATGATTAATTTTCATTACTGATACTATATAATTAATGCTCTACAGTAGTGCTGTGTAGTCGATCACGGCTGTGTAGCGTGGTGCAAGGGCCCTGCATCGGTGGGGGCTCTCCACGGAGCGGGGGGGACCGGCACGCAGCCGTGCCGGGGCACAGCCAGGGTCGCTTGGCGCCCTGCCTCCGCTAACGAGGTTTGCTTCTCGCTTGGGCTCGTTAAGCCCCACCTTCACGTGGCTAGTGCTGCTTCCCACGCTGAAGCTTGCACTGCCTGGGGTGCTGGCGGGGGACTTGTTGCTGCACCCTCCTGTCTCCCCGATTGGGCTTCTCCCAGCAGCACATCGTTACCATCTTTGCATAAAACCACCTTTAATTAATTAACGCCTGAGTCCCAGTCCAGCCATCAGGCTGGAGAAGCCGCGAGGCCAGACCTTGTACTGCTGCCGGGGGGTGGAAAAACCCCAGTCCCTGTTACCTGCTGTCTGCAGCTCTGCCAGCAGCCCGGGAGCAAGGAGCTTTCTAGGAAGCACCGAGATGATCTCGAGCGTGGTCCTGTGGCTCCGCAGAGGCTGAGAGCGGTTGCTCTGGAGAAAAGCACAAGCCCTCTTGTTTTTCTTGGGAATTATTGCAATATGCAGTCTGGAGGAGATGTTGCTTTCTGGCAGCCCTCCGTCCTCCTGCCCCCCAGTTACAACCCTTGTGTATTTTTAATCTCTTTTTGTCTGAGCAAGTTCCCTCAGCAAACGCTGACGTCTCAGCCCAGCAGCACGGCTCAGCATCTCCCAGGGGATTTCGGCTTTTCTGTGCTGCAGTCCCGACACAGGCCTCGATGGTCCTGTGCTGTCCCAGCCTGCCTGTGGGCATCGTCCCTCCAGCACACCCTGCTGCTGCCCCTGCAAGCGCAGAGGCAGGTTTGAGCTGCTCTCAGCACTCTCCTGCCATTTGGACTTTTTTCACCCCATTTTTTTCACTTAAATGGGACATCATCCAATATAACCCTCTCTGGAGCATCCTCCCCACTAGTTGCTGGTTTTCCTTCCCAGACTTCATCACCACGTTGGAGAAGGCTTCGTGCTGGGGCTCAGGCTCATGATTTTTGTTTATAAAAGGGGAAGTTGAGGCGGGGCGAGGAGCTGCAGGAGGAGCACCCAGTTTGCACCGAGATGACCCCAGGGACCCGAACACACAAGCGTGTGTCCTGTTTTATAGCAGGAAAGAGGGAGTTTAGGGGTTGGGATAGTTTCAAGGAGGATACCTATGGGGGCAGGCAGTTCCCAGCAAATTTGGCACATCCCAGACCAAGGTCCTTTGCCTTTGTCCCTGGGAAGGCGCCTCCTGCTAATTCAGCTCATCTGCTCATTGCCTGGTGATTTTAATGTGATGGCTTTGGACCCCCTGCACCCAAACATGCAATATCTTAGACCTGCATAGTCCAGCGCTCTCATAGCCCTGTCCCAGCCCCGTATCATGATGGGCACAGGGATTTTTAATCCCATGGGATTTTGCAGTCAGGGGTAGTTCGTGGCTGTTGCATTAATGTGTGCCAAGCCAGGTGGGCGCACAGGGATTTCAGGCAGCCACGGTCTCTCCTCTGAGCTCGCTGGGGCATCTTGAAAAACCTCTTGAAGTTATTAAAGTTGGGAAGCTGGCTTTAGGTTTTAAGACAGTCGCTCCCCATCACAAGTCCCTTCTGGGCAGCTGTTAGCACTTGGTGGCATTATTCTGCAATAAAACATATTGAAAATTACAAGCATAAAGCTCATAATGGCGTTGGAGTGCAAACAAAACCTGCACCACAGTTTATATCTCAGGCTGAATGCACATATTTCATTAAAGTCACCTATTCCCAGCTTTCATGGGGTTCTTTCATAAGAAGGTAATAAGAAACCTTGCAAAGTTTGGATTTTTCCTCTCTGTTTTACTCCTTTGTTTGACATCTGCTTATAAAACTTGGCAAATAGTTTCCTCTTGCTGTCTTGGTGGGGTTTTTTCTTCTTCTTTTGGGGCAAACATGGCTTAAGAGAGCATCCTGTCTCCTTGGAGAGGCTCCCTGTGCACACCTGGGGATGACCAGCAGGTTCACCCAGCTATGCCCTATGTGGGGCATCTTCGTGGCCACCCATGACAGATACTTAACTCACACCGGGCAGGGAGGAAAGCAAAAAAATGTCTTAAACCATGCCTAATCTACATGGTTGACCTAATCTGCTCAGGGTTTCATCAAGGTGGGGTTCAGTGCAGCTCAAACTCACTGCGTTTTCAACCAAAGCATTTGTAAACTCTTTGAGATTGCCAGCAAACAGATACAACTGTTCTTTCCTGGAGGGTTAGCCAAAATCAGACGAATTAGTGACCCTAGAGGTGGTTTTTTTGCATCCTCCTCTTGGTCCTGCCCCAGGGCAGAGTTGTCCTCCTGGGGTCATCAGCATCCCGAATCCCCACCACGCATCTCTGCATGCCAGCCAGCAGCCACCTCGCTTCCTTAGGAACTGACCCATTTTTTCACGTTTTTAGCTTTCTTATGGTTTTTTTTCTTTTCCCCCAGTGGAATTTTTACAGAAAAACACTTTTCAACCTTTCTGGAATTTCCCTTGAAAATACATTCTGCAGCAGCCGTGGCTGTGAGGGAAATAATGTGGCTGTGAAGAGAAATGCCACTCACATAGCTGACATTTTTCAGTAAACTCCCAAATATATTTTTTAAATTGTGTTTTGGGATTTTTTTGCTTCTTTTGTGAAGAATTCAGTTTTGACACATGGGGTGGTTTTCTTGGAAGGATTGTCTCCTTCTCCGTATCCTTTGGAGGGTGTCCTCCAAACCTGGCGTATCCCCTGGCGCGGTGCCCCCGGCCCCGTTGGGTGAGGCTGCTCCACACCTCGGCACACAGGCAGGGCAGATGTCTTGCCTGTTCCTCCTCACCTTAACCCAGCCTCCTTCTTTTGCAGCTCATCAAGGAAAAATTATTAGACCTACTTGGGAAGGAGGAAGAGGAGGGGAGCCATGATGAAAACGTGGTAAGGAGCCCCCTTGGGAGACAAGAGGAGATTTCCCTGCGGTCGGCGCCGTAGGCAGGCCAAGTCGCTCGATACGGATGCAGCGTTGAGCCCCGGCTTGAGTTATTCCCAAAGGATTGATGCTGTGGCTTGGCCAAAGGAAGGAGATGGCGGTTGGGGAGGGACAGGGAGCGTCCAGCAGCCCCGGGGTAACCCTGTCCCCCGCTCTCCGTCCGCAGAGCACTTGCGACCCCATGCCAAATCATTCGGAAACCATCAGCCACACTGTGAACGTGCCGCTGCAGGCCACCCTGGGAACGCTGGAGGAGATCGCCTGCTGACACCGTCCGACCGCTCCACAGTGCCAACACCTAAGGAAGGAAAACTGCACAGGAAAGCAGGGACCGAGCTCAGGTTTGCAACGGGGGAAAAAAAAAATAAATAAAAAATATATTAAAAAAAAAAAAAGGAAGAAAATCGCTATGCATTAAAAAAAAATAAATATATATATTATATATATACTCTGCCAAAACCAAGCGAGAGGCGCCTTGGACTTGACTTGTGTTGTCCTTTCCTGTGGGGGGGTTGTCTTCAAGATGTGAAGGCAGCAGCTCATTTTTGAACTGTACAAAACAAAGAGACCACCACCACCAAAACCAAATCCGAAGCCCCGCCATTTCACATTCTGCCAAATGTATAAAGCACTTGCATGCCAGTTCTTTTTATGGCAATATATTCCTATCTGTCTTTATAAGCTCTGTTCCTCTTTACAGTCTCTGATTTTCACTACCAGAAGGAACTCGCGGGCCCAGCCATCCCCTGAAATCACCATTACTAACGTCGTAGGCTGAAATAGAATAAAGAAACAAAAAGTCGCAGCTCTTGGATTCTTCTTACGTTCTTGTCCTTCGTGTCAGTCTGTGATGAATCTTAAGCTAAGGCGGGTCCCCCGAGGCCGGGCCACCGCCGGGGCTCCTCAGCGCTGCCAGTCACCCCAAGGTGAGCATCCCTGGAGAGGGGCCGGACCGGGTGGCTCTCGGTGGATCGTCCCCCCCGGCTGCTGTGTTGTGCTCCTCCGTCTGCAGTGCCTGGATAGTCCGTCTGCGGCGGGTGGGCACGGGGCGGTGGGGTTCTTTAATTATTTTTTTTTTTAATTTTTTTAATTTTTTTTTTCCCCATTAATGGATTCTGTGCTTTCTCCTCGTTCTCATGACTGATATTAAAGCTGGTCTTGTGGAAATGGCCGGGCTGTGTCATTTCTGCCTTGCCTCCCACCCCAAGCTGGAGCCCCCGGAGCAGCCTCAGCACAGGGTGAGGGGCAGACACCAGGACAGGCCCGTCCTGGAGGCTGCTCGAGGCCGTTCCTCACCCCTTGTCCCTCATTTGCCCCTTCCACCACGTCCTCACACACCTCCTGATGGGGTGGGCATGATGCCATGGCCGTGCTCAGCCTCTCATGCTCAGCTGCCTCCCCATCTGCTCCATGATGGTGGGGCCAGCTCTGATGTGCATTCTGGTGGTCTCTTGGAGTCTCATTTATTAGTGACCAGGAGTTCAAATGGAACTGGGTTGAAATGCTGCTGCTTTACCCCAATAGAGAAGGCAAGTTCCCTGGAGCTCCAAACCCTACTGGTTTTGTAGCCTGGGGAAGTGGGAGGGTGATGGGAGGCATGGATGTGTTTGCACCTCTGCTAGCTCATGGCTGGAGGCTGCTGAATGGCCAGTGACTGTCACCAATGTGGTGGCCACAGTGGGGAGAATCACAGCTGGACTGTGAAAAGCTGTTTTGGGAGAACTGATGAAGTCCCAAACCTTGGGAGGGCATTAAACCATCCAGTAGGAGTGGAGGTCAGCCCAGATGTACCTGCAGGGGGTACGGGGGGGGGGGGGGGGGGGGTGAGGTGTGTGTTGGAGTCTGCAGCTGGCTGAGGGACTCAGGACATCCCTTTGCCCTGGAGAAAGTGCAAATCCATCCTCCAAGCCTGTCTGCAGTGCCCATGTCCATGCACAAAACCACTTTGCTTTAGGCACATCCTTACATGATGCAAAGGGCTTCCCGTCCATCACTTGTTCTGGAGTGACTGTCCCCCAAGGGCAATGTCAAGCAAGGAAACGGCCGAGGCTGCTCCGGGCAGGTCTCTGTCCTGGGCCATGGAAGTCAACAAGCGCTTCCCTGTGCTTGGACAGAAGTGCCAGCTGGGCAGCCGCGCAGACAGCCTCAGTGCACTGCAGTGTCTCAGGGAAAGCCAACTCCTGTCTCTGCAAAGCCCAAATCCTTCCCTCTCCCCATCACATGCCAACATGCCACCAAAGCTGAGCCCACAGCCCTCCCCACCGTGCCAACAGCAGGGCCTTGGGGAGATGCTCCCAAGTCTGGCGCTGCAGCTGCCCGAAGTAACCTCTGCGAAGCCGCGCGTCGGCAGGGCAGCTGCAGCCACGGGCTCTTCCCAGGCAGCAAGCTCCACGCCTTGGAGCTGCCACCCGTCCTTCCCTGGTTGGAGCCGTTCTGGCTCCTCGCCCTGTTTTTGGCTCCTCGCCCTGTTTTTGCCGGGGCTTTGGCTGATTGCATGTTGAGGAGAGCCTTGCTGAGGCGAGACCAAGGGGCAAGATTGCAGCCCGGCCCACCGCCATGCTCCCTGTCTGCCAAGGGCAGGCTGAAGCCCTCCTCTTCCCCTGTACTTGCTCACCGAGCCCAAGAAGGCTCTTTGAGAGTGACCTGCCTGTTCAGACAGAGCACGAGCCATCCAAAGCTGCCCCAGCAGCAAAGGCTGGAGTCCATCCCAAGCTCAGGCTCCCAAGCAATGCTCGTGGCTTCCCCGAGCCCATAGGACGTGGTTCTTGGCTTTTACTCCAGCAGCTGGGTTGGGGATTGTCTCTGGCTGCTGCAGAGCTGTTTCCTGCTCAGCAGGATCCTCCTTCAATTAAACATGAGCTGTGGCACCAAGGAGCCACATTAATACATCCCGCAAGCTGTTTAGCTGCAATCTCCTCCCCCTTGCCTTGCTCTACAGCAGCAGGTAGTCTACAGCCCCTCCACGTTTTTCTCCCTTAGGCAAAAATAAAACCAGTAAGGCTCCCAATGAAATACCTGGGTTTGTGGGATGGAACACACCAAAAAAACCTTTCCAAGCAAGGAGGCAGACAAACATCAAGGAGCAGCAGACGGGTTTCAATCGGATCCTCTCCAGGCTGGCAGAGGAGGAGGATGTGTGCTCAGATGTGTGCCCTCTAAAGCGTTAAGGGTGACAGTGACTCCAAGAGTCATTTCCATGCATATAAATTTCTCCACTTGGCAATTTATTAAATCTCCATTAAGAGATTTCGGTAGAGTCATTGGAAGTCTGCTGAAGCTTGATGAGGTGGGACACCACAGGGATGCCCAGAGGTGCTGTGAAGATTTTTTGCTAATACCACCTATAGAGAAAAGCCACTTGGCATGAGGTTTGCGTCTCTGATTGCTCCTGAAAAGCACCCCCTCCAAAGGACTTGCTGAATTGCTCATTTTGTGTTATCAGTTTTCATTATCTCCCGAGACCTGGACACTGGCCACAACATTCATTATCCCTGGGATGCCCAGCAGCCATCAGCTGGTAACAAGTGCTCATCGACAGCCTGGCTGCAGAGCTGCCAAGCTCTGCCTCCCGGTGCCAAACCCCTGTGCCAGCCTGGTCCCTGTAGTCACGGCTGGACCAGTGGAAGGAATTTGTGCCAGGCCTGGCTCAAGGTAACTCATTGCAACATCTCCAGGCTCTTAGCCATGCCCACGAGGGCTGGTTGAACCAGCCATCAAAGCCCAGCCTGAGCTGGGCTCCTCACGCAAACTGGTCTTTCTATTCCTTACGCTCATTAATGGCTGGGAAGGGAGTTGCCCTTATATCCATGGTGGACCTTTGTACTGTATTTCTTTGTGTGTGAAGGAGCAGCAGTGCCTCCGTCTTCGTTCGGGTCGCAGTCCAAGGGTGAACTTGGGACTTTACAGGACCCAGCCCTGCAAATGCCAACGCAGCTCACTGACAGAATGTGGGTATGGAGAGGGGACGGGGGTGAGCAGCGAGACGCTGCTGGCAATGCCCGTCCCTAGCAGATAAGCTGGTACCATTGGACAGCTGAGCCTGCAGGAGATACCACCAAACTGGGCAAACAGAAGTCTCAGTTCTCGGGCTGTTTTGCTAAAGTTGTGGGGCAGCCCTTTACTAAAAGAGATATTTGAATACTGTGCCTGTGCATCAACCCCCAAACCCCCCCCCCCATAGGCACCGTAGGGCTCACCACCAAACTGCATTACATCAACACGGCTGGGACAGCAGCAGCAGGTAGGTTGAGGGACAGACACTGCCCCACGCTGAAAGCGAGCTGACCCAGAAACCAGCCGTGCCGGAGGCTTGCAAAGCTCCTGGCTGCCTCGTGTCCTTTTGTCCTGTGAATCCAACAGACCTCAACCCCCGTGATGGAGAGCCATCCCACACCCGGTGCTGGGGTGCCATCATGCTTTCAGGAGGCTCCTGTAACTGCAAACACACGGTTCTGGCTTGGTGCTGACCCCAGTGCCCTGGAGCACCAGCTCTTTGAGCAGGAGAGCAGCAGAAGGTGGAAAAAGGTGAACTTTTAGCCATGATGTTTTCCATCCCTTCGTGTAAGGTGGGTCACACTGGGGCTCTGGTTTGGCATCTTCAACACTGGTGGACTTAAGCTTTCCTAGAAGCTTTCCCGTATTCCCATTGCCTACTGTGGGCTCTGCCCCTGAGCCACAGCTGAGGTTTCTCCAAGAGCGATGCTGATGGGCCATGCTGCCCGGCTCTCTGCCACCAGTGGCTCGAAGGCTCCTGATGTGCCTGTTGAGCCCCAAGAGGTAGCGCTGATTGGAGCTGCCTGGGCTCTCAGACAGGCTCTCAGCACAGATGCTGATTCAAGAGCCCTCTTCCCTCTGGCTGTCTGCCCTCTCCTGCCTGAAGAGCCTGTGTTTGGGGAGCAGAGGGGATGGGTGGTGGAGGAAAGAGAGGGCTGGAGGAGTGAAAACACGTCATGTCTTAGTGGTGGTCTGTATAATGTATCCCAAACTGAAGAGCCTCACGCTGCGCTAGGGCAGAACATATCCCTGCAGACGGCAGCTGACCCACTGCCACCCTCCCTCCCACGCAGCACGAAGCCTGGTTCAGGCAGCAGCTCTTGGGAGGGACACTGGTGCATCGCAAAGGGTTCCACCGAGAGCTGCAAGGGCGGATGCGAGGCTTGGCAAGCAGCCTGCTGGCGAGACGAAAGTTCAAGTCGTTTAGTTTAGCAAAGGGAAGGTGGAGAGGTAGCTCCATCAGTCCATAATTTTCTCTGTGGAGAGATTTCTAATAAATGGTTCTTTAATCTGGCAGACAAAGCCAGAACGTGGAGGGAGGGGGTCATGACAGGGGGAAGCTAAATGCATTCAAATGAAAGAGCCTGCCTGGGACCATGGATGGTCCCACAGCCCCTGAAGTCTTTAAATCGAGGTAGGACATCCTTTTGCAAGAGACGTGCTGCCAGAGCGGGTCCCCATCCCTGCAGCACCCCCTGGGCTGGCTTGTGGGGAAGACCTTGCATCTAGTAGTAAAGGTCTTAGAAGTGACAACCTCAAAATTTTGCATTTAAATCTGTAGTGTCTGAGTTCACCTGAACTCTCAGCAAGCTGGACTTGTACCTAATTCCCCCACTTAGACCTCCACAAGCCATTGTCTTCCAAGGAATTCACAACACGAGCTTGGATAGGTCTTTGCACCAGAGACACTCCTCCACTTC